TTTTTTTGGAAAAAAAGGGGGTCATCTTTGATTCGTTTCTGGCATGGAGGATACGTAAGTGTGAACCTAAAACTTGTAGAATGTCAAATCCAAGACTCACATACGATCCGGAATACGTGTACCGAACTAATAATCAGTCTGATTTAGGCAAAAGGTTCAACAAGAAACTCCAAGCTGCCTTTATTAACCAAACTACAAGAAGTTAACGTGGTGATATCAGAGTATGCAGTTGATAATCATGGACGGGCAACGTGCATGGTTAGCTGAACCAGCCGCATCGAGGATCTAGGTAAGTGTAAAAGTTCAATTTTACCGTCCATGTAGGCAACAAATAAGAAGCGAATCAACGGAATGAATAAAAAAAGAACAGCTGGAAATCTGAAACAACGAAGTAAACAAATACTACCATGAATTAAGTAAACAGAGGAAGTCTCGGTTAGATTTAGTCATCATCACTTGAATACATATTCGAAAAGCGCAACATTAAGAGACTTTACCAGAGCATGTCAGTATAATAAAGGTCCCCATCATCGACCTCGACAAGTTACAGATCGCAGACGATGAATTAAAAAAACTAGAACATCCACAAATTATGAATGCCATCATTCAACATAAGTTAATAAAAGATGCCGTTTTTGTAATTTCATCGTGTCACCTCGACTAACAGAAGACAAATAACTAAAAGTCTTTAGAAAATGCTAATGTGTATGTGGCTCATTCGGTAGGGATGAAAATTGGTAATAAAACTTATACCATAATCAACAATGGTAGAGATTGAAAATCAGAGTCAAGAGAAGAAAAAGGAAGACATTGTGCAACTTTCACACCCACTTAAATAATGGCGCGTGGTTCCAAATCTTGCCGACGAGCATCGACCAAAGAATGAGGAAAAAGGCTTACAAGGCTGCAGAAGTAAATTTGACGCAACAGCAATGTTACCCATTGCCAACAATAAGGCATTATACAAATTTGATTAGATCGGGCGAAAATAACATCGTGCTCGTTAACATTTCTGCGTGAATGGAGTGGCAAACAGGCAAGCTAAAATAACCGTGAATTCATAAGAAAAGTGGCATATGACCAAGCACATGACTCCAATAAAGGAATAATGCATGTACAAAACACTTCAGGTACAGTAGGTGTTAAAAAGAAACTTAAAATAATCAGCTTACACCACTTGACGGGAATACGATGAGCCACAATACGACCGGCTAGAACAGCCAAGCCTGTGCACAAGCCATGACCCAATACGCCACCGACAATGACGCCAGCCACGTCCTTAAAGCGGAGAAGCCAGGTGGAAGTACAGACAAAACATCAAGACCAAAAAAATAAGCAAGACAAACTTGCAAATTCCCTTCGTTTCATCGCTCAATATATTTAACATTTAAAGTTCCGCATCCATGGGAAATAAATGAGTATTACGATGTCTACTCAACGATTAAGCGCATATACCTACTGCTGACAGTTACAATTAAAGTGCTTAGCCTTTCCGAAGAGACATAAGACAGGCTGACGGAGACACAAAAACTTACTTCACGGGCTGCCAGAACGATTGTCGTAATCTGCGATCTATCTCCCCATTCGGCGAGAAATGTCATCACAAACGCTTCAACAAAAATTGGTGAAAGAATGCTTTGAAGAAAACTTCGAAAATGAGCACAAAACGTTATTTCCCTTATTTCATTAGCTGATAGCTGCTGTTCAACTTCCTTATATTCCTCTTTGCTATCTTCAGGATTCATGATAAAAGCTAAAAAGGTAATTTAAGACTTTAATTACCGTCTTTTAGCATTTTAACTCCGAACAATATGAATAAAATACCAGACGCGTAGTAGGTGTAAACGCGTGGAAGAACTTCAGTGGCGAAACCAAGTAAAGCAGATAAAACAGTCATTGTAACCAGTGCAAACATGGCACCGCCATAAACAAGAAGTCTCGGGTGATCAATCGAAAGTATTGCGCCAATGAAAAACGTCTTATCACCGAGTTCAGATATTATTATTACGTAGACTGATGCGAGAAACCCATGAAGGAACCGTTTATAGTATGTTGGGGCGTTGGGCGTTTCACTGTCTTTTTGTGAAGCGGATTTTACGTTACTGTCTTGCGGGATGACTGCGCAATGAGTCCGAAAAAGTGTCACAAAAAGGATTAGAAAAACGCCACCTGAAAGCCCCGAAACCATACCACAACGGAACAAAAGCGCTCAAGCCACCTCTGCGTCCTTGAGCTAAAGCTGCTAAATCATTTACACAAATTATACGCTTATGTATCTTAAATGTACACGATCCAAGAAAGGAAATCGCTTACTTGAGCCGCAGTTCTAATGGAAAAAACAGTGAGAGTAATATAGAGATGATGTTTGAGCAAGCAACTACTACCAAATTCGCAAGCCTCATCGCAAATGTTTACGACCATTCAACATAATGATACCATCACTAAAAAAATCTTTTAGAAACACGTTACTTGCGGCGAAAACTATTAACCTAGGCTCTGACTCTTAATTAAGTAAATGAAAGCATTAAGTTATTGCTGACGAAAAAATAGAATGCATCCTTGTTGTGGCCTGAATGTTAGCTGACAGGTGCAGTGGCTAGATAAATGCCAAAGTAGCCGCCAGAACCCAAGTTGTCGCGTCAAAAAATATTGCATTGCTCTTCTGTTATTTTGAGCGACGTCCTCCACGCCACGTCGATATTCCTCCCGCTCTAGGCATCACAACTTACCCAAAGATCCAAGCCAAAGACTTACGAGCCAGAGTTAAAAATAGAGCTTAAGAAATTTATATACCGCGTAGAAATCAAATATATTTTGAATATTCCACAGCTATTAGATACGTTCGCAGATTGCCTTATGTTAAAAATAAGTAATAAAAATATTTACAAAACTAAAAATTAAAAACATTATTTTATATTTTTGTGACCGACTGAAAAACTTAGTTTATGTGAGCACATGGCGTTTGACGGTCACTTTAGAGCTTGCCTGACTGCTGTTCACGTG